AATAGTGGATCGATAACACTTATCTCAGCAATATATCATGAATACCGTAAACATGGAATGACTAATTAACGTTATCAATGAAATCACGTGTCAACATTGTACGTAAGCGAGTGCGAAATCGACTTGTAATTATGGCATGTTATGCTGTATATATAAACCATCCTGAATACGCTCATGAGGGCTTGAATCTAAGAGAAAGCAAAGAACATTATTAAGTTGTTAAGTGACATATTCGCTTTATTATTATTATTATTATTATTATTATTATTATTATTATTATTATTATAATCATAAATATAACAAAATTCTGAAATCTGATTGGCTATCAACTGCCCTGATTTCAGCCTTAATAGGACAGTTAAATAGGACAGCACGGGTCATGCCTAAGTAATTGGACTGTAAGTGCCATCACGCGCGCGCTTAAATGGCTTTTTTTTTTCACTGCTAGCAAAAAAAATCTCGGAATGTCTTGTGTTTTGATTAAAAAAAGAGCCTAATTTATCACAAATTTTGTTAAAGTTAAGGTTAACTTTAACTCGTGATTAAACAAATCGGACTCCCTCTACGCGGTCGTCCGATTTTGTTAATAGGGACTTTAAGATCCAACGACGCGACGGTAATGAGAACGTGGCTTAAAAAGTGAATTTACGTTCTTTCAGTCTTTATCGCAATTATTCCTACCCACTTACTTTGTCGAACCTAGGCGAACCCTCCTGGGGCTGAATTCCTAGGCACCATATCCAAGTACAGTAAGAGAGATAAAATTTCGTCGTTGCTTGTTTACGTCCTCCGTAAAACGCGAAATGAGGCATGTTCACGTCGTAGTCTTGCAAAAACGGGCGGAGAAATGTACAAAAAAGCATGGTGCACGTGCAAAGTTGTTGTTTTGCTAATCAAACCTATTGTTTTTTTGACGTTCTCGTTACCGTCCGCGTCGTTGGATCTTAAAGTCCCTAATCACTCGTATGATTACAGACCGAATTGGACTCCATTCAGTCCGGTTACCAATTCTTCTTCTTCTTCTTCTTCTTCTTCTTCTTCTTCTTCTTCTTCTTCTTCTTCTTCTTCCTATTATTATTATTATTATTATTATTATTATTATTATTATTAAAATAACCTTTTATTGACAACAAAGCTAACTATTAAAACCTATTTACAATTAATTTCGCTGAAGCAAAAAAAAACTATTCGGTCAAAGCACTTTAGTCATTTCATTTCATAGGCTTCTGTTCATTTCGATTTAAAAAAATTCAATTCAATTAACAAAATTCATTTTAATTAAAAACAATTCATTTCGATAAAAAATAATAGCAACTAGAATTAAAAAAGAAAATGTCTTTAAAATGTTCCCCCCAAAAATGAATTAATTCGGGCAGGTTCTAATGTTTTCGATCTGTAAATCTAATTCAACAAAGTCTAGCTGTCGTCTTCTGGATCTTGAGCCTCTCAAGCATAGTATCGCAGAGCGTGCGATGGCAAAAGACATGCACTTTAACTCTCATCCAGGAAATTGCGCTTGAGAAACTTTCTCCCTTTTTATTTGCGATCAGTTGGTGAGAGTACTGTCGAAAACCCACAACCAGACACTGTCTATGGGGCAAGAAAAATTGTCCGCTAACGGACGTGTGCCAGGTATGTACATAAAGAGGTATTCAAATGCAGTGTATGTGTGAAGCTGGGATCACGACTAGGTGTGCTCTTAAGAGAAATGTCGGTCTAACAAGATTAAAAATGTAGCGTCTGTCTGTAGCTGGACCCATTACTAAGTGTGCGCTTTAGACAGCTGTGACCTCCTTAGGGACAGTTAAAATGTACTTTTTGTGGGTAGCACTGGGACCATAGCTAATTGTGACTCCGCTTAGGAGAGGTAACTGCTTAATTGACGTTGAAACACAGTTTTGTATCTGTATGGGACCATGACTATAAGGGGGAACGTGTGCGCCTAAGGGAGATTTCAGGATCCGTGATGCTTGCACCATAAATGCGAATCCATGACTGTGGGAAGTGTTCGAGTATGGGTGTTGTCCGTCAGCTGAGCCCCTGTTTTAGGGATCGTTGTACAGATGCAACTCAACCTACTTGAAATAACTCCTGGGTTCAAACCTATCACAGAAAAAAAAAGTGTTGAATTAACTTTCAGTTAAAATTTTTTATTGCCTAAGAAACGGGACAGGATTAACCGGGTTTTAAGATCCTATTTACAATTAATTCTCTTAAAAAAAGAAAAAACTATTCATTCAAAAACACTATTTACAATTCCTGTCGATTTAAAAAGCACTTAATTTAGCTTTAAAAAAAGTTAATTTAACTAAGAAAAATTTATTCCAATTGAAAACAATTCATTTCAATAAAAAAAACTGTTAACCTCTAAAACTGTCAACCTCTAAAATTCAAAATAAATACTTGTTCTAATACTTGTTCTAATTATTTGCCTTATACTACTACATGAGAAATTTCTGCGATTTGATTGGCATAAAGCAGTGGTATTTCAGCTTAATTTGAAATACGTACATGTGAAAATTACAAACCTTTTGCGGGTAGTAGTATAAACAAATAATAGCATGATTTGTACGTGATATTTGTCATAAATACCACTCGTGATGTTCAAAATTGTCTCAAATTTCACTCGCCTAACGGCTCGTGATATCACTTAGTGGTATTTATGCCAAATATCACTACAAATCATGCTATTACGGTACCTATACAAATAATCACTCTGACAATGAGTGGTAATTCTTAATCAGTGTTAATTTAGAGATTTAGAATCCCGTTTACATTTCGTGACCAAGATTTCCCTCTACCTGTTGTTTACCATTCATTATTAACAAGAGAGGATATCCTCTCTTGTAATTAATATCCACAGAAAAAAAAATATAGTTTTAATATCTTCAGACTTCTACTAGTTTCATCATGTTATTAGAATTGTTATGCACAGCTTTTGTGTTCTCATTTGCTAATTTGACTGTTAACTTAAATGTAATGTTTACTATACCGTTTGCAGTCACTGGTTATTCTATACCTTTTTATTACTGAAAATTATTCACTCAAGATATTTCGCCCTTTCTGAATGGCTCCATTTTCCCGGCTACTTCATAACCAATTAACGAGAGTGAATTTAAAAAAAAATGGCCTTTACGGCTATCCGAAGTGAATTAAAGAGCATAATTATTCGACCGAGACCTCACCCTCTATAGCGCTCTCCCCATGGATATACATAAACCATGAATTGTGTATGGAATAACGCCTACAAGAAACATCGGAATTAACCAATGTTGCAATGGTAATATCAACAAACTTTTGAAGGTAATAAATTTCTAAAAGAACAATCCGATCTAACTGAATTTAGTCAGGGGCACCCAACGGCAATTTTCGGGAAAATATCTGTTCGGAAGACGATTTGAGAACTATAATTTTCGGAACATTTGTTGTAAAATTTCTTGCTTGCCTGCCCCTCCTAGGATTTTTGAAGATCTACAAAATGTATAATTACCCATTTGAAACGTATATTTACCCTAAAAAAGGCCACCTAGAATTTTCGGGAGCCTTTTCCTGGCTGAAATTTTCGAAAAGGTAAGTTTTGATCCCTATAATTTTCGGATCACTAGACTTTCAGCTAGGAAATCCGAACAGATGAAAAGTTTTTAGGGGATAAAAATATGCCTATATCTACCGTTTAAATACTAAAATACGTTCAACAATGCTATGTTAAGTGGTTTTGAACTATATCCTAAAAAATAACTAAAAATAGCTTCGTCTGTGTTTCAATAAAAATTTCAATATAAAATAATAAACTTTTTCCTAGAAAAAAATTATGAACAAATTAGGCAATAATTTGTTGCACGAAATGCAGATGGTGGGTGTTTCCACAGTCGTTTCCAGTCTTCTTTTTTATGTTCAGAGTCAGATGTTTCGGCAGCATTACGAGCGATTTTCGAAAATATTCCGAAAGTCGAAAGTATTACGACATTTTCGTAATTATTTCGCAAATCCAAACCATCCCGAATTTTGGGAACCATCCGGAACTTTCCGAATCATTGGGAAATTTTCGGAACCATTCCGAGATTTCGGAATTTTTTTACACATGGCGGGCCATACTCGTTGGGTGCCCCTGTTTAGTGTTACCAAGCCTTATAGCATAATGGCAACTGTAACGACAATGATCCTGCCTCTTACACAGCAGCTGGTGGTTAGAGGCGAACCTTTTTTTTCCTTGGTTCTGACAATGACTCCTTTCACAGCAACTACCGCAGTAGAAAACCCAGGACGCGCCTGCATGACTATGAGATGTGTGAGGGGCACATTCTCTTACCAAATACCCTTTCCCCGTTTAAGTTTTCATAGTTGGGTCGATCGAAATAGTTAAATGTGTTATTTTTAGAACAAATAATGTTGTTACGCACCACCGTAAAAGGACGTTGTGCAAAGGAAGGGGTCGTTTCGTATGAGATGCATTCTCCCGAACGTGAGCGTTGCCCTCTGAGAGAACGTCCTTGACAGCGTGAATAGATGATCGTGATGTGATGTGACGGTAGGTAGAGTATTTTGGAGAAATCCTGTAAAAAAGAGTTGTCATAAGCTTCGGATGGATAATCCCCTGTTAGACGAAAAAAAAGTTTTCCGAGGCAAGAAAAGTCATTAAAAAAAACCGGTTAGTGCATCTTTTTTTCAGCTACTGCAGGTAATTAGAGCAATGTTGGCAGTAATAGAAATAGAAATGTATAGTTATTGCAGAAATACTAGCAGCCCATCGCGAAGCCCTAACAAAACAACAGAACAAACCCATTATTACTACTAGGCAATCACCTGTCAAATTTTCAATAAAAATGTTCTCCTTTCATCGGTAGTGTTAATTTGTTTTGAAAATGACAACATGAGCACTCACATAAATTGCAATCGTTAAAATGTGTCTTTAACGCAGAAACATCTGACTCGAATGCATTTGATCAAGAGAACAAATGGATTTGCGAAAACTCTTTACACGATCATTTTTATACTTTATGATGACAGTGGGTCACATTTCGTGCAAATGTGGCGAAAGGATCATCTTAGATGGAAAGCCAATGGGACGCGCAAGCTTTATTGAAAATCCTCACCGTTACTTGAGGGTGCATCTTATCTACAGCCGCCTTGTACACGACCCTATGCAGTGTGCACTGGACTGCCTTGTAATGCTAAGCTGTCGTTCTTTCAACTTTAGAATGAAAGAAAATTTTGATGGAAAACACCACTGCGAGCTCCTGGCTTTTGACAAGTTTGATAACTCCATCAATTTCGAAACGAGTGCAGAATATCATCATTACAATATCATGGTAAAAAGAATTTTTTTGTGTTCGACATAGATGGAAATTACTGAAGATTGTTATAATTTCTTGAGTAACACAAACACTTTTACAAATATTTTTATAAAGCCATTTTGACTCGAAAATGAAACATAAAAAAGTCAGCGAATTAAAAAATGAGGGGACGTAAAATGAATTCGATAACAACACATTTAAACATATATAAGTTATTCTGCAGCTGTTGTTTTGTTTGGGTTTCATAACAAAGTAAATAAAAGCCTATTATTTGTAGAATTCTAGGCTCCTAACTCAAATTAAATTTGAATGATTCATTCATCATTAATCAATATTTGCCCTTGAGGACTACTCGATGACATTTTTCTAATTTGGACAATTGAATTTTCTCCAATTTCTTTCCCTATCTTTTTTTTGTCATTATTATTGTTTCTTTTTTCCATTTTCCTTTATATTTCAAAGGTTGAGAAATCGAAGACATTTTTTCATAATGAATATAATTTTGCTATATATTTATGATTGATTTCCTCCTAGAGTCCTTGTGAGGATGCGCCATGTCAGCACGAATCCATGTGTGTGCCTTTGTACGAGACATGTGGATTCCTTTGTCACTGCTCTTCCGGATATGCTGGAAAATTATGTGAAGTAAAAGGTAATTACCTTGACCCTGTTAACAATTAAATCCTAAAAGACTTCATACAAATGCAAAAGAGCTAGCTCAGTTTGTTGCAGACCAGAAAATCCATGATTACAGACGTCAGCTTATAAAGGGTCGTCCAGCGTGCGTATGTCCTAAAATAAGCTTAAATTAGTTTTGCAGTGTTATTGTTATTTGTTAGTCTGTTTACTATTGTCATGTTGGTTATCTTCCCCTCAGAATTAAGCTTGACCAAATGGGGAGGATGTGAAAATATTGGCCAATATTGATATATTGTAAATGGTCACGTGAGGCCTCGTTTTCGTGAATTACAGAGTTTGTTGAACCGCCATCTTTGAGTGCTCTCTCTTCTCTCGTCTCAATAATCCTTCTGTTGTATTTTGCAGACTTCAGAGGTTGATTTTATGTTTTATTCATACATTAAACCACTTTTGTTTCAATTTTTTTAGTTCCCGCGTGGCTAAAGGTAAATGCTGAAGACGTTTGTTTTGGTGCCCGAGACGAATCCTACGGAGAGTTTACACTTCAATACAGCGGTAAAATCATGTCATTTGCTCTAGCTCATCTACGCGGTAAAGTCACGTGTCATGTTGGAGGATCATCTAGTTTCTGGGGGTGCCGGGAAGGACCTGAACTCCGAACGTTTCTTACTAACAAAAAGAACAAAGTCATTTTCCCACAAACGTCTGGCATTCAAGGATACCGACTTGCTGGTGTGCGGTCTGACTCAAGCAGGCTGATATTCAATAACCTTTCCGTACCTTTGAAAGTAACGAGAGGGGAACAATTTAGAATATGGTACGATGAGGATCTTAGAAACAACTCTGAAAAGGACAACGGAGGCCGTACCTGCATGGATGTACATGCACTATACATTTAATTATTTATTCAAATGTTTAGAGATGACATGACATGAGGTATGACCATTACGTCTTAACCTTGAGAGTGGCAAAGAATCTTCAGTTATAAGATTTGTGACATCCTGCTCCTATTGATTATGCAGTTAACCAAATGGAAATATATTGCAAATCAACCTCTTTAACAACTTTTAAACCTTTTTGAGCTGAATGACACCTTGCAGTTTTCCTTTTAATTTCCTTTAATTTCAAGATAGCTGATTTGCAACTTCGATGCAGTCAACAGTGTAGAAAAATGACAAAAATGTACGTTACTTTACAAATTTAAGTTAAACTAAGGTTTTAGTTTAAGTGGTCCAACGAGTTTATCGAACTAGAACATGTTGGATCTTTTTTAACATAGGTTATATTGGAACAGGAAACTGCATAAATATGAAAACCGGAAAGGACTTAAAGATGAAAACAACTGTACTCCAGTTTGTGTGCTTATGTCGGGAGCTGCCCGACAGTGGATAATCTTTTGTTATAGGCTCCCAAATTGTGACTGGTTAGATTAATGGGACGTTTCTATTGGTCAGTTACTTTAAAATGCATGGAAAATTCTGCACGGTCCAAAAAATAGGTTTTAAAAAGGTAAAAAAAAAAAACAGAGAAGTCTGGCGGGATTCATAACCATTAATTATATAAAGTATGGTTGCAAAACCCTCGAGTAGTGTTGGATGTGGTCTGTTGATACTTGATCAGGATTGCGTGTTTGAAAACTTTTGGGCCGGTCAAACGGATCCTGTCAAATAGTGATATCAAATGCAGTTGGACATTTGTTCATAAGGTTAATAATGCCGCGGCGGGAACAGTCCATATGAGTAGCTAGAAACACAGTCATGTAGAATGAAACCTTGAATCACCTGATACAAATTGACGTTTTCCGCTGCCGTAAACTTTACTCTAATTCTTCCCTTTATTTCAGTAGACATTTATAGTGATGTACAAACTAGGTTTTCCCATATTTTCTTAACACCCCGCGTGGGTTTAGATTAATAACCTGTTGTTTGGGTTCTGTTTTGTGCCAATAAGTCTGCAGATTTCGTAGAACCATCAAATTGACATGTGCTGACGTGGCATCAAAGTTTGATTTGGTTCCAAATTATCCCCTTCTTTTAAACCTTTTGAAAACAATTTGAAGTAGCTCTAAGCCTTGTTCTTTTTTAAGAAAAACATTTCTATGTACTTTGCAAAATCTAGGTACTCCTTGACATGTTTATGATCAAGCGAAGTAATCGATTTTGAATCATAACCTGATTCAAAGCTAAAGCAATGATTTTTTTTGGTCACGTTTCGCTGATTCCACGGTTAACTAATACCAATTAGCTAGGCAAGTTACTATTCCTCATATTATCCAGAGGCGTTAGACTGCGTGAGCTATCAAAGTATCACATCTATAAATTCCTAGAAATCACGCAAGCAAGCCTTTGATGGGCAATTTATCTTTCTTGATGTTTGACTAATGGTGTAAAAAGGAAAACACTCGTCGATAAAGATTGATTTTTTTTTTTCGCAAATTAAAGCTAAACTCCAACATCGTTTATATTTTTCCCAGCAACATTTGGTGTCGTGAAAGCAAGGGTTTTAGGACTGTTCAGGTCAGATACACTTTCAGCGTCAGAATTTCGAACAGTTACACTTTGATTATGTGTCCTGACAGTCATTGAATGTTGCCAATCATTTGATCGTGATAATGACCTGCAGTGAAGCACAGCCACAAATGCTCTCCTGTAATCGGACCTGCGCAGTGAGTAGATAACAACGTTCACCACTGAGTTCAAATGAAGAAGCCATACAAATGATGTAGTAACGATGGGCTGAATTTCAGTCCGGTTAAATACGAGGAGTCCACGTGTGATTAGGAACGGAATCCAGAGGATTAAAAAAACAAAAATTACCACCAATATGGTGACAGTTGCTTTAACTTCCATACCTGAAATACAATCACAAAGTATTAACCTCATGATAATCATCAAACCCAAACTATGGTTCAAGGAGAAGCAGATGGCTCCCTCTTATCCCCGGCCCTCCTTCCCTTATCCTTCTTGTGTACCTTCCTCAGTTTATGCTTCATTATGAAAATACCAATCATAGTTAACATACGGCCCGTGATGAGATGCACCCAATGACAGGTATGAATCAGTATACAGTTCAACTTCCCTTAAGCAAACACCTTATTGGTGCTGGCGTTGGAAGTGATTCTACAGATATTTTTAGGGAACTGCGACTGAACTTGTATGAAGAGATATGGTTAAGTAAATAAAACATTATGAAAGGTACAGCAAAAGAAAAAAATGACCTTCAACGCGAGAAATTTCCCGAATTTTTAGGTGAAGTCAACCATCGACGGCATATGTCCCGGATTCCGGGGTGATCATTAACCAACCAACTACATTCATGATCAGTAACACTTTCCATCCGAGAAACGTTTTGATTTTTACAGCTAATCTGCTTTTCTAACGCTTACCAATCAAATATTTTGATGCTTTTAATCTGGCTTTGGTATTGTTAAACAACATTTTGCGCTCTTGGCATGAACTCGTGACTCCCCCTTCTGGTATCTAGTGAAAACCGATTGTCACACAATTTTGCTAATGCAATGCTAATCTCACGAGAAGAGCTAAGCCTGCGTTTCAGCCGGGCTTGTTACTCAGGACCTATAGAGAATTCGATAGACGGTCTTCAGGGCAGGCTAGAGAAGACCGAGGTTCGAGACCAAAATCTTCTCTCAGAAGCATTAAATTTGATATTGCAAAATTCTTTCAACGAAAGAGAAGTCTTAATAACCCATATACATAATAACTATCCACTTAACATTGATTAATTCTTATTACTAATACCTCAGCAAGAGGCTGAGCGAGCTTACTGTACCGTGAATGCCAAACAGCGATGAAGGAAAGCTACAGTTATAGCCTTTTGTACACGTACCTGAAAAGACGCTCTTTTTTCTTTGCTTCCGGGTAACACAAGATGTTTGTGTCGCTATTCTCATTTTATGTCTCCTGGCTATAACCATTACTCGCAAGCTCATAATCAACAGAAGAATAAATGGTAAAGCGATGTTCATAATCACTGCAACCACACTGAGCCAAAGCGGTGTGCCTTCCCAGGCCACTCCACAATCCAAGCTTACGACAGAAAACTTGATATTGCCCAAAATTAAAAACAGTAGACTGAAGAATATAGCCTGAGACCAAGCCAAGCATATCATGATAAGTATAGTCCGAATTGTAACGCGACTTAAATACCGTAGGGGATCACTAACGGCGATGTGTCTTTCAATAGCAAGCATGACAAGGGTCACAGTCGAACATATGTAGAACGGATACGACAATATTCCACCGATTTTGCAAAGCATGCCATTTCCAGAAATGATACTAAGGTCCAACACGGTAGCTAAGTGATAAGGCATAAGAAGGAATGCTGTCAAAAAGTCGGCAATCGCCAGATTTAAGATCAAGTAGCTGTTCACGGATCGCCGAAGACGTTTGAATCGAACGATTGCGACTATTACAAGGACATTTCCACAGATTCCGAAGACGATGACAATCCCAAGCGTCGCCGCCAAGACTGATTTTTCTGCTGTGGTCCACCAATAATGTCCAGGCTCTCGTGAAGCCATGTTAAATCTTAACAAAAACTGATGCAGTGATGTTGCAGATGAGGAAAATGATTCACGCTTCTGCCAGGAAATCAAGTGGGCACCTTTGACGGAAATTAAGACCACTCAGTCTGAAACACAGAAAAAGCTTATGATCAGCAAAATGAAAATGTTACTTTACGAGTGAATTTGAAAAAATGCTCCCTGCACACACATCTTCATAGTGACGGCCAATGCTATTCGATCGATTTATAGTTACTTCCTTTTCTATATATACTATGCAAATCTTCTTTTCGATAACCCTTACTTACATGATCCTCAGAACTCAGAGCTTTAATTAGAAAGTAGTTCAGTACCGAGAATTATCGGATCAATTTAGGTTACTGGGAAACTGCCCAACTACTATCCCTTACCTTACTCAATGTTGGGTTAGGGGAGGGATAACCAAACGCCAACACTTTGGTGACGGCCGGCGAGTAGCGAAAAAACGCATTTTTCACCAATTCCGTTTCTTTGGACTGGTTTTAGGCTAATTAGCATAAGAATGGCTAAAAATGCATATGGGTTTGCAACAAAAAAGGGCATATTTTCCGAATAATCGGACGAAATTAAACAGCTTTTCTGTTTTTCACACATGCGCACAAGCCAAAATTTGGACTTTCTTTGCCAATCTGTTTCGACCTTTCTTTCTCTCTTTCTTTTGTTGCGCACTTTATCGTCTTTTTTTTTGTATGGAATTGCAGCTGGCCAAGTTATTAGGAAAGGGACAAATTTAATCTTCAAAGAGTAGTAGGTAAACAGTGAAACTGGCAGTGGATTTATCCCCAAAATGTTACCTTTTTTGTGAGCGTAACTCTGTAAGGATTGGTCAGAATATCCAAAACGAGGTATCGCTGGGAAGATCTATATTTGCTGACGTTGCTGCTTATCAATTTATTAACTTAAACTGAAAGCTAAATGGGTCCACGAAAGAAAATATGCATCGTTCCATATGGAACGAAAACAACCAAAGCAGTCGTCAAGGGCTTAAATATAATCAAAGATGCGCAAGGGGCTCTGCACGCAGTCATCAAAAAAAAGGTAAGAAAATTAAAAGCTTTTTCTGTCAGAAAATTATACATGTGTAATAAATCTGATAACTCTATTGGTTGGCCAATTGCATGAAATTTTGTTTTCCGAAGCCAAGAAAGTGTTACTTAACATTAAACAATTGATTGAACTAATTCTGCCCTCAAGTTAGTTCTTTTTTCCGATAACAACTGGATGGCATTATTTACTTGCCACTATGAACCTGCATTTTCTCTGCTTGCTTAACGTACACGAAAACTTTGAGCATGATAAAATCGAACCAAATTTTGCATAACTGTCGTTATCAAGTGTCTGATCTATAGATGTATCCAGAATGGTGGCTCTTTCCTAGTTCTTCAGTACACCGCTTTTCAGAAGAGAGGTTACTGTTGAATAGTTGCAATCAGTCAATGTTTAACAAGAAATAAGAGTTCGAATTTCGCGTAATTCAAATGAAGCGAATTAATACCTCTTATTTTAGCAGCAATCAATGTTTACTGAAATAATAAGTCAATTGCTATAGATATAGAAAGAAAAAGAAATCATCACGATACGCCAAAACAATGCCCTCTAATTTTAATAATGAAAATAAAAATAGTTTTTCAAGCATATCAATGTCTATAGGAGCGTTTAATTTGATTTGGATCACACTTTTTGAGCTGGAACTATTGGCTAACCAATTCGCTTTCCTTAATAATTAACTGTATAGAAAAACTGCGTGTTTTAATTTTTATCGTGGAGACGGTGGTTGATGTTGTCAGTCAGAAACATATTCATAGTAATATATGGCTAGAGGGATAATGACTTCACACAAGTGATTTTTTTAGATAATTTTAAAAAGCATATTCTCCTGTGAAGCCTGATCAGTGAATGCCAGTTATAATTAAATAGTACCAGACATAACGTACTGATTCTGTTCCTCAGCTGGAAGGCATTATTTAATCACTACCATGAACCTGCATTTTCTCTGCTTGCTTAAAACGAAAACTTTAAGCATTGTAAAACAGAACCAGATTTTGCATAACTGTCGCTATCAAGCTGAAGCGTCTGATCTGAAGATGGATCCAGAATTGTGGCTCTTTCCGCGTTCTTCCGAGAAGTTACTGTTGAATACTTGCCATCAGGAAATGTTTAACAATAAATTAGAGTTCGACTTTCTTGTAATTCAAATGAAGCGAATTAACACCTCCGATTTTAGAAGCAATCAACGGTTACATGAACAAACATCATTGGCTGATAAATAATGGCATAGCGGATTTTGTAAAGTAGCTCCTTAGCCTAAAGTTCTCAGCCAAAACGTCGGTACTTTTTTATTACTGTTTGCTGTTTTTTCATTACTGTTTGCTGTTTGCTGTTTGCTGATCAACCTGTAGAATCCATAGCTGAAATCCTGCCTTTTCATACATGAACATTCATGTCTAACTCTGCTTAATATGTTGTGACGGCATTTACTGAAAACAGAACCCGAAGAGATCTACAAAATTTGGCATAATCGAGTTGGGGTCATTCATCAGAGTTACCTTATTCTCAGCTGTCTCTAAGCATTCATATAGTCGCCCGCGCTTCTTTAGCCCGACTTCTTCGACGTTGGAATACTATACGAAAGGAGGAAAAATTACTATATGCTAATAGCTTTGGCTGCAGTTTAGTCTATTGATGAATGCTGTACCCTGAGGGGGGGCTCAATTGAATTTAATCATTTGCTGAGTTGAATAACGTTGTTGAAAAAGTTAGTTACGTCATGGTCTTTTTTTTAGGAACCTAAACATTTGATTGGAATAACTTGCTTAGCAAGCAGGTTGAGAAATAATTGATATGAAATGAGACTGAATTGGATGAATGTGTAAACAAATGGAAATGAACCATTACTATGTGGTGTAATTGAATTTTAGTGCATAATTAGCTGCAAAACGTTTTATTTGTACTAATGATAAAACGCTGATGGACTCTCATGTAATCAGCATCTCAACCTGCCACCCGCTGATTGAGCTTTCTCGAGCTTCTGTTGTACTGTAAATTCAATTGTTCATTGAAGAGTGCTAGTCGTGTGTTTATAATTAGCTGCTTGCTAACTGGTTTCCGTAAAAAAACTGTGCTCGTACTATCTTACATGTTTTTGATGTATTAAGGTAAAACTTTCGAAATTTTCATATACATCTATAGCTGAAGTTAAGAAATTGTTTTCAGTGAAAAGGGCTGGGATTACCATATATGGGTGCTTCGCTGGCGAAGTGAATTAACACAAACAGCATAGAGCAATACCCGGAAATCACTCACTCAGATTCAATTTTTTTCATTCTTAGACTTTGCTGCTCTGGACAAGAGTGTATATTAAACCAAAACTTTTAGGGAGTAATCCTTAAAACACTGGGTAGATAGATAAACTCAATATATGATGTAATCAAACTCTGCAAACAAAGAATCTAAAGGCACTCTTATGGAAAAGGTTTTGCACGGCGTTTAGCCACTCCACACCAGCTGCAAGCAAAAAGTTGTCCCTTTCAGATTAGTTTTAAAATATTTATCCGTTTTGATCTAAAACTTGGCAGGATAACAGAACTCTGTATTCCCAACAATCGTATATGCATTCGGGCTTTAACGGTTTTGGCGAGGAAATGACGTTATAATATTGACAGAAAAGATAAAAATCAAAAATGTCATTTTTGATTGTCCGATATATTTGATCGATAAATCAGGCAACTTTCAACATTCCTTCTTAGTATAGCGCAGCAGGCTTTTTGCTTAACTCGCTCAATTGTCGCTAACAGGTGATCTTTTCTTCAATTCGATCGCATCGGTCTCAGTCTCGCAACATAAAAGTACGATTTTTTGAAGGCGGGGTCCTCATTCACTGTATAATACGATTTCCATTGTAACTTTCCCTCCTTTTTCAAAAATTTCAATAAGTTACTAGAGCACCCACAATGATCTAAAGTTAACGACAGAGAAATATCTCAGGGGAATAAACAGGAAATCTCAGGAAATTATTATGAATTTTCTAGATATAGACTTCAACCAATCAAAAAGCACTGAAAAAAATGCTACCAACAGTTTTATTCCAGCAAAACGTAGTTTTAAACTCTAATCTTTGAGAAAAATAACTACAGCTAGGAACAAGAGAGAATGAAATATTTTCTCAAAATTTTCAGCTGCTTTTAAGATAATTGGTCCAAAGTTTCTTAATCGTCATTTACTACGAGCTTTTTTACAGAGTTTTTGGAGTGAAAAAAAAAAAAAACGGTAAGTGGGATAGCCTGCTAGCAGACGTTTGGAAGTAGTGCGTGAAAGAGAGAACGGGCCTGCGCGAGGGGGACACGTGAAGGGTTTTCACGCGTGTTTCCTTCTCGAGGGCCCGTTTTTTCTTGTGCCCACTACTTCCAAGCGCCTGCTAAGCAGGCTAAAGTGGGATGACGTAATTCCAAAAACAAATGAAGTCTCACCTTGAAAGCCCGCAAGTAACGGATCAGTACGCCGTATTAAATTCAACTGGGAAGAGGGGGGTGAATAGGGGTATGCAAATCCGCCGATCCGTGGTAGTTTTAGGCCCGATCAGTCGATCCGACTTAATTTTTGTTCAAATCCGAATCCGTGTTACTTGAAGAATTTTTCCTGGTATAAAGAAAGTAGCGTTGTAGCATGAAAAAATGAATTACTTAATATCATTGTTCTGTAATCGCAACAGATGCGGGACTTCATGTTTAAGAAGTTTTCGTTCAAGTTTCAAAACGTAAGGTGATTCCCTGGTTTGCACTTCGCATCTCTTACTGCGCATAACAAGATGGCCTCCGTAAAAAAGACCAACAATGACAATAACAATAACAATATTAAAATGAAGTTGACCGAAGAGAAACGCTATTGCAAATTTTGCTTGCGGTTGTTTCTTGCCGAGGTAAGACTCAATGTGGTAGGAATGTGCATAACGTAAGTAGTACGCGTGTTGCTGAGTTCGACTTCCTCACGGAGAACCTCTGTAGTTGATGTTTAATTTGTGCTTAGTCACTTTGATTTTCATTTAAACGCTTTCTTTATCACATTGTGTCTTAAATGTGATATCTCGATGTAAATTCTGTAAAAACGGATTTTTTAATACTTTCTTCCCCCTTTCGCATACATTCTATTTTGAAACTCGCATCAGTCCTCTCTCAAAAATCAAGGAAAATGCATTTGGTACGCACTTCCTGCAGCTGTACCGCAAAAACGAGTACGGTGACCCCCATTTTTATTTCATGATTTTAATAAGGACAGTGCTTCCTTTCGGTGAGAAAAAAATTGGCACAAATCTATGTTCAGTTTTTGGGCAATTTTACTAAATTGTACGGATTGAGCTATCACGTGTCGAATAGCGCGTGTCTAATTTAATTCTACTTTGGAGCGTAAAGTAAAAACAAGGGCATTAAAAGGCATTTTTCTGGTACGTAAGTGGATAAACAATACATTAAAATAAAATTCTGTGCGATACCACATGCATCATTGAAAAAATCTTTCTTTTTTGTCTAGTTTTGGGCTGCGCGCGGCGTTTGTCAAAGGGTCCAAAATAGCCGTATTTGTTAGCATTGTGACGTCAAAACGAGCAAGGTGACCCCTACTTTTTATTACCTTTTTATAATCTTCTTGACTTGTTACATCAGTGTACCAAGTTTCATCTACAATCTGTATTAGGTTCTTTTACTAGGGAATCACCTTAAGCATTAAGGACAGAGCTTATAATGTTTCTTCCAACAATACAGATTTGACTAATCAAACAGTCTGTAAGCTTGAAAAATAAAAGTATCTGGTATTGCGTAAAAGATTTTTCAATAAATTTGCTTACTGACATCACTTTGGACATGCTTCTAGTCGAGCCACAAAATTCGGAAAAGGCAGAACTCAACTTCATGGTAATTTGCTTGCCAGTAAGTATTTTCCATGGTTAATCTTGGATGTTTTGAGACCATAATCTTTTTCACTTGGCAACAGACGGGTAAAAGGGTTAGCCACGGCAAACTGCATTTGTTTTTCGGTGCAAATACAGAGTTTCATTTACTCGTAGTTTGTTTTGTACTCAATGATGGTCAATTTTAGCATTAAATATAAGGAGCAAAATCCAGTTTATCATTTCACCGATCAATTTGTAAATTTGATTTCTTTATAGTTCATGAGTCGCTGTCAATCCTAATATTAAATGTGGGGGCCCAAAAATCCAGTATAACAGTCCAGCGGATGTGATTACGGAAAATAACTCTCATCTTACGAAATGAATGTGGGAGGCGCTGAGGGCTAATGGTTAATGCGCTGGACTCTGGATCGCACGGTCCGAGTTCGAGCCCTGGCCGGGGCACTGCGTTGTGTTCTTGGGCAAGACACTTTACTCTCACAGTGCCTCTCTCCACCCAGGTATATAAATAGGTACCGGCGAAATAATGCTGGGGGTAACCCTGCGATGGACTAGCATCCCATCCAGGGGGAATTAGAAATATTCCAAGCTGCTTAATGCTACAGAAACCAGGATAAGCTCCGGCAGTATGGGCCACTTGGCACGAAGCTTTACCTTTTACGAAATGAGTCTGTTGTTTATTCGAACTTGTCTCCCAAAGCGAGTGGAAACTCCAAACAAGAAAGGTTGATGTCCTGTCGGTAAAACAGCTAATTTGACGATTTTCAAGAAGAAAACGAATTTGTATGAAAACTAAAAGTAAGACTTCTCGCTTCTCAGCGAACCGATGCCCTTTAATTGGTTAACTGTTTTACCAGTATCTTTAGTTTGTAAATCATAGAAATTTCAGAATGTCAACTTTCCTCAAATTATAGAGCATCAAACTACCGACTTTTACCATTCATTTATTGTAAATTTTGCCGTGTTTGCCCTCAACCAATATGGCGACAGAAACCGTGAAATGGTCTATTAAGTTAACGATCAAGACAAGCAAACTAGCTGAAATAGCTTCGAAGAGCATAATTTATATCAGTTCATGTATAAACCAAATATAAAACTTACCGAACGTGCTCGCGTAGCCGTGTTCACCACACTTCCCCAATGACTGGAATCGACGCAGCATCGAAACTTATTTTTTTTAATAAAGTAATCGCCTTTGGCACCTTCGTGGTAAAAGACTACACACTCGATAGTTCTAGTTTCCATTTTGCAATTTAGACAATTTACACGAACGCATTCACAGATCTTGTCAGGTCACTTAGCATTACCGCCGTTACCTGAACCATGTGTCACCATGCAGGAACCATGCACAAGGTTGCCTGACGTCATTTCCGTCACGCTGTCTATACTAGAATACATGTATATGCGTCGGGTCACGAGAAAGTCTCTTCCGGAAACCTCGGAAGTGGAACGTTAGCCGACAAAACACCAGCACATTAACCAAGGCCGACCGAAAATTGATGATCCGATCTACAATCCGAACTTCTAGACTGACAGAATCCGGAAACCGGGCCAAAACTTTCAGCTGACCCGCGATCCACGGTATTTTTCAAATCCGCGAATCCGCTCGATTTATCGCCGAAATCCACAATCCGTGAGCTTTTTAAGGCCAAATCCGCCGATCCGCGAACCTATTCACCCCCCTCTGGGAAATTCATCTTGACGTGACTCTGAATTCGAAATTATGAAACTATTGACTTGTATACACTCGCATGACATC